TCTTTTTTCCAAATGTGCAATAGTCAATTCATTGCCACTGGAACAACTAGGATCTGTCTTCGACATCGTCTATATCTTATTAAGTGCCTGTTTTATCTCTCTGACTTCCAATTTGCCCTAGTTTATCTCCTTTTAGTTATAATTTATTGGCCTGACCAGTCCTAATATGTATGAAACACTTAACATAAGGCATTTAAATTGACATCCAGTAAAATTCCAGCTGATCTTTCTAGCATCATCCCTGGCCTCTGCTTTCACACTTCTATGCCTTGCTCATGACACTTCCTTCACTTGGCGCGTCTTTCCCTCCCTTGGTGTGTCTTTCCCTCCCTTTTCTCTCCAGTATTGGTGGTTTGTTCACATGTCCTCTCATCTGCAAAGTCTGTCTTCAAAGTTATTGTGTCTTCTAGGCCTTCCAAATTATTATATACCTCCCAATTGCGAAAGCACTTATCACAGCCAGCCTTGAAGAACAGTTGCAGGCATTCATTTCTCCAATAGATGGTGAGGGTTTTTTTGATGTCAAAGACTGTGCTTCCTTTATATTGTAATCCCACAGCAATTAGAACCTTAGTGAATAATGACTGGAATTGAATAGTAGCCTAAAAGGGAGGACAGAAGGAAGAAAGTGGAGCTGGATCAGAAAAATGAGAACTTGTGGCATTGATAAGACATGGAGTGAAAATCAAAGGTTTTTTGCTTTTCAATGTGGATTATCTGATATTTCTAATTTTTTTTTTACTTGAAATAAGCCTAATCATCTATGTCGGAGTAGCTACCATGAACTACATCAAATGAGACTTGTGTAGCTTCTGTGAGAAGACAGTCTTAAAGATCTGTCTCATCTGCACTATTTCTTTAAACACTCATTTAATTTATTTGTTCCTATAAATATCCTTGGAAGGTGGGATGGGAATTTTAAAGTTAAAGGGCTAGGGGACATAGACAAAGTCACACAGCAATTAAACACCAAGTCACATGCATGATCATGTCTCATTTGTGGCCCTGACATCATAGCCTCTGCTCTGCCCTGATCATGGCCGCTGGGCAGTGTGTGCCTGACAGAGAAACTCCCGATCATGACCAGGACATGTCCTTGGGAGAGGATTAATTCAGGATATTCTTAAAAGAGCACATCTGCGATTCTGTACTCGTCATCATTATCTGTCCACATCCATCCCTCTCTCATGTTAACGTGACCACATTTTCTAGATTCTTTTTCTTTCTCTCTCTTTTTTTTTTTTTTTTATTATACTTTAAGTTCTAGGGTACATGTGCACAACGTGCAGGTTTGTTACATATGTATACTTGTGCTGTGTTGGTGTGCTGCACCCATTAACTCG